CGAACTCAAGCTGGAAAGGCCCCGGAGCCAGCGGGGAGCTCCTCCTGGAATTAAAACTCACGATGAACAGGGGAAGCTTTGTGATGAAATGTGCGTGCCCTACAGGTGGAGTGTGGTCTTCAGAACGGAGCTACTCACGCACAGAAGGGCTCGGAAACCCCTCCTGAGAAGCCGGCTCTCAGGGGTGGGCGGGCCAGCACAGGAGTGCCACGGGGGCAAGGGGTGGTCCCGTGAGGCGGCCGGCCCCCCCGGCCTCAAGAACCTTCCATGCGCTTCTCAGACTCCCACCCAGCCCCTTCTCCACCACGCTCTCCTGCAGGCTCCACCCAAGGGTGTCATTCATGCTTTGGTCGCGTAAACGGTGCGACGAGGCGCCTCCTCCTCCTGGTGCCACAGTCTGAGGCACCTGCTGCCCTCATGTGGCTTGTGCTCTCGTGTGACGTCTGAATCCCCGTCGCAGGTGGGGAAACCTCGGACGCCTCCCCAGATTCGGCTTCTCAGCTGTGGCATCTGCCTACCGCCGAAGCAGGCACGGGGAAGACGGCTGCACGAGGAGACACTTGCTCCCTCTGTGGCCCGAGAGTCCAAGGGGAACGCACTCTCTCCACCCTTCTGCTTCTCACCTTCCCCCGGGGGCCTCCCGGCCCCAGCTCCTACAGACTTCGATTATTAAAACTCACGGCGCTCAGACTCTTGGTAGGATTTCAGCTTCCCGATCTGAAACCTGGGCCCCGCCACAGCGGAGGCAGCCTCGGGGACACACGCCCCTTGGCAACATGACAGCCCAGCTCTGCACTCTTCCCACCCCCTTCCTCCATGCCCGCACCCCCCGTACCATCCCCTCTGCTGCTCTGATGCAGACCCGGGCTTCCCAAAGTGTGGGGTCGGAACCCTGGCAGGACCGGCACGCAGGATAGGATCGTTGGCAGAAAATGAACGCGGTGTTAAGCAGCATCGACTCGCGCCGTGCGACTTATCGCCTTTTAAAGTCTGTCTCGATCTCCCGATTTTTTCGAGGAGAAAGTCTTGGTTTCATGCCAATATATCCCTCATACGCGAGAATCTCCCTTTTAACAAGGAGAGGGCAGGCCTCTGGCTCAGCGCCTCTGGTGACAGCTGCGTCACGCTGGAATTAAAGGGCGTGATTTTGTTTTCATCGCATTCATTCACACAGTCCCCTCCTGCTTGTGGGTACAGTGGTGATTTGCAAGTGTCTTTTCAAATAAATTTATTCTAAACAAAAACAATTGTTTAGAGAAAGATCCGCTCACTCGCTCATCCAACAGATATTTATGGGGCGCTAACTATAGGCAGGGTGCCTCCCTAGACCCTGGGCATGTAGAGTTGTGAATAAAACAGACAAAAATTCCCGCCCTGAGATGAATAGCAGAACAGGTGTTGTGCACAAGTCTGGTAAAACAGTACCAGTCTTACGTGAATGTGTCTAGTTTGAGAGACAGCAGGGCCAGCAAGTACCTCTTCCCAGTGGAGGGGAAGTGACGTTGGCAGGGCTGGCGGGAGGGGACCTGCACCTGAGATGTCCAAGGCCATTGCCCGGTAGAGCACAATTGGACCTTCTGTTATTTTAACTTGAACTTTTAATAAGTGCAGAAATGTAGATAATTCTGAAGCAATTATGCTTTTAGCAGCTGCCATCACTAACTTTCTAAACAACCTGGGGCAAGTCCTGCTGTCTCACTGGCCCTCAGCTTTTCCATCTGTACAATGGGCCCATGGCGTTGACTTCTAACTGTAATGGCTTTGACCTCTGACTGTAAAGTACTTGGGCTGGGGTGGGTCTGGTTAGAGGGAATTAACGCACATGTGTCTGAATTTTTAAAACCAACCAGCCAACCCAAATGGAAACCCTCCCCTCCCATCCCCAGCTTGAATTCAGCCTCTGCTCCTAAGGGGTCATAAGAAGGCAGAAGGGCTTGAACATACGATCAACTGAATGGGACTCTCTTTCCCTTCTCACTGAGCTTAGAGGTTCTCCAATTCCACTTTGGAAAGACTCGCTGTGCCAGTTGCAGGCAACAGAACCAGGGATGCTGTATTTTATGTGCAATTTAAGATATTCAGAAGGATGATTTTTGTCTATAAACGTTTTTTCTTGCCTTGAGCACTGAATTTAGAAGCAAACTCTCGTGTACATACAGGATGTGACTACACTGCATTTCCTTAAAGAATATGTTCCCCCGGGTCCTGTGAATTGGAATCTACACACACCACTTAATAAGCCTTTGCTGAGGTCGACAAGACATCTCGAGTAAAGGTCACTGGACCGGCTAAAGAAAGGGTGTGGCGAGAGCTGGGGAGAATACCCTGCCTCTGGGCCCTGCTCCCAGGGACAGCCTTTCCTTCCCACCAGCTCCTTCAAGCCAGGAGAGGTATTTCTAGAAAGCAGTCAAAGCAAAGGGAATATAAGCAGTAAATCGATTTTGTTTGGGTTTCTCCCTCTCCTTTCTAAACTCGGCTGAATTAGTGTCAAGTAGGAACTCCAGGTATCCATTTCATATTTCTTGGATCTAAAACACAACAGACAGCAAAGGGCAGCGGCTGCAAAGGGCAGCTGCAAAGGGCAGCGGCTCGCCTCTTCCAGGAAGCATTCTCTTTGCCGCGCTTCAACACCCTTAACACGGGAGTCGGTGCCGGTTTGAAGGGGTGAGCCCTGCTCTCACACAGCTTCCTGTGGACCAAGGTCAGCCCCACGCCTGCACTGTCCTATCCTTAGCGACCGACCTGGGGTGAGGGCTAGATTGGGGCTCTCTTGTCATTTCCAGGAACAAATACTGGATGACCCCTGGGTAAGATGCTATGCTAGGCACATGGCCTAAGAGAGGGATGCAAGGCGGATTCATCAAAGAGAGTGGGGTTGGGGGGAGTGGACAGAGGGACAGAACAGTTGGAGGAAGGGGTGGGTAAAGAAAAGAGAAGGAGGGCTTCCCTGGTGGCGCAGTGGTTGAGAGTCCGCCTGACGATGCAGGGGACACGGGTTCGTGCCCCGGTCCAGGAAGATCCCACATGCCGCGGAGCGGCTGGGCCCGTGAGTCATGGCCGCTGAGCCTGCCTGTCCGGAGCCTGTGCTCCGCAACAGGAGAGGCCACAACAGTGAGAGGCCCGCGTACCGCAAAAAAAAAAAAAAGAAAAAAAGAAAGGAGAAGGAGAGAGGGACATTCATGACGAGGAAGAGACTTGCTGAAGGGAAGAGGGAGGAAAGATTTTAAAAAGAAGAAAGGAGAAAGGGTGGGAGGAGGGGGAAGAGGGAAGCGAGGGGAAGGGAGAGAGGAAGGAGGGAGAAGCCGGGAGACAGGAGAGGGAGAGGCTGGGGTGGGCCTGGGGATAACACTCCACTTTCCCGAAACCCTTCATCATCTCCCATCAGTGTCGGGAAAGTCTGTCGAAGGTCTTGGCTTTTTCTGCCTCCAAGAATCCTGGTCCCTTCTCACCCTGAAGGGTGGGGAGAATGGCTCTCAGTGCTGAGCTGGCCGTCATGATGTGACAACCCGACACGCTGCCAGTGTTTTTATAGAATCCTCTGGTTTCCCCATAAAACAGACAATAACACCCTGGCAAGTACACTTCAATAAAGCTGTGTGCTATTACTGGGGCACGCCGCCTTCCCGGAGATGAATCACTGCCGGAATGGTCAAATGGCAGTTGAACCAAACTGTTCTGCCCTCGTGGCTTCAGCTGAGCAGGAGAGATCAGAAAAGCCACGGAGCCCACCAGAAGTACCTCCAGAGAAAAACCAGGAGTTCGGGGGTGGTGAGAAGGTGCTTGGGAAGCCAGAGGACGCTCTGCCTTCCCCGAGCAGGTGGGCACGGCTGCGGACAACTCCTGCGTCCCCGGCGTCACCCAGCCTCAGGTTCAGAGCCGCTGCTCCGAGGCCGGCTGGGCCTCCAGAAGCAAATCCTGAGATGACCCTCACGTCGGGCGGGCGCCACGCAGAACAGGCCCTGCCTGTGCAAGCTGGCTCCCAGACAGCTCCTGCCGGAGCCTGTTACTGGCGCTGCCTGAGGGGTGTTGCTGGGTCTGCTGATGCAGAAACCGGAATAGCACAGGACAGGGGAGCTCGCGAGTGAGGTAAGCACTAACTTTCCTCCTTCCTCCTCGTACCTCGGCACCGAGTGAACCGATGGGGGAGCAGCCGCTCTCTTCTGCTCCGCTGCATATCCCCAAGTGGAAAAGTACTCCCCCCTCCCCCCACCCTCCTTGACTCCCACTCTGACTCTCAGGGTGACCCACACCTGCTTGGGATGAAACAAGGCGCCCACCTCCAGGAGCTGGGCTTACTGGAGAAGCTTCCAAGGACTCCCGGGTCCATGTAGGTAACTAAGACCTGCCAAGCCCCTGCTAGGCCCTGGAGTCTCTCCATCCACGAGCCACGGGCTCACGGCCTCAGACGTGGCCCACGACTCTCTGTGGAGGGAGCCCCGAGCATCCCCAGGACAGGGGGCTGAACGGGCCCAGTGGCCGGGGGTACCTTTCTCCACCAACATTTAAAGGACACCTCTGAAGGGCAGTGTCACCACCCCACCTCTCTGCACTTCCTCCCCGAGGGAGGGGAGTGAGTCCGGGCTAAGCCCCGATGCGCCACATCTCCCGGGGCATCACAGCTCTTGTCCTGGGCACCACCTGCTCTTAACGCGGGTCCTACAACCTCTAGAAGTTCTCTCACATCCCCTCGGGGGACAAGGCGGATTCCCCTCATGTGTGCTGGGGGGAGGGGGGACGGTACGCAAGGGTCCACTGGGCGAGTGAATGCGTGAGTGGCCAAGCAGGCCAGTGCCCTCTGCCACACGGAGCCTTCATCGCTTTTGGCCTCCTGCCTAATTCCCTGCCAAGAAACAGGAGTTCGACCCCAGCCCTAGTTGGCCATCGGGCCCCTGGGGTCCTCAGAGGTTTTAGCGGTCGTGCGCAGTGCAGCGTCCCAAGCACGGGGACGCTTCCCCCCTGCCCAGCGCCTCTGTCCCGAGCGGGGCGCTGGCTCGGCTCACCGTTCAGCTGGGTGTAGACCACCTCCTCCAGGTGGTCGAGGCGTTGCAGGATGGCCTCGCGCTCCGCCAGCGCGCCCACCGTGGCGTGCCTGCTGCGCACCCGGCGGTCGGCGCTGCGCACGATCTGCACCGGCCCCTCTGAGCGGTCCTGCAGGCGGCAGTACACCGAGAAGAGGATGATGCCCACGAACACCAGGATGTTGACCGTCAGCAAAGTTTTGATCTTCCTGGCCACCGCCATGAACGCGGCTGGAAGCTGGGGGCTGCCTCACCCGCGGGGCATCCCCGTGGGCCCGGCGGCCGCAGGAGCCTCCGTCTGGCCCGCTGCTTCGGGGACCATGAGCCAGCCCGGCTTGCCGCGGGCTGGGGGCTGCGGACCCGCTGCGCGCTCTGCCGCCTGTCCCCGGGAGCTGTCCCTTCAGTACCGCCCGCGCCGGCTCAGCACGCCCCTCCGCCTCCCGGGTTCCCCACGCGCAGGGGCTGCCCGGGGCCGCGGATGCAGGGGGCACCCGGCATCCTCTGCAGAGGGGCGCGGCCCAGTCTCGGGGGCGGCGGGGCGGGCCTCGGGGCCCAGAGAAACGACGGAGGTGCGGGCCGGCAGGCGCTCGGCTGGCGTGCGGCTCCTGCCCGCCCCGCCGCCACGGCGCCGGTGCGGAGTGACGCGGCCGCCCAGCTCATCAGCATGCAAGCGGGGCCCGCACCCTCCCCCGCAGGCCCACCCTCCCGGGACGCCCCCTCCGGGACCACCCTCCCCTCCCCTCACCTCCCCTGCGGGGCGCAAGGTCCGGCGCGCGCTCCCGGCGCCCGAGCAGGGTGGGGCGGGGCCTCGCGCTCAGGGTACCCCGACCAAGGGCATACGGGCGGGGGCGGGGGGGGGGGGCGGAGTACGCGCGCAGTCTCTCTCCACTCCCCTCCCCAGACTTGACCGACCGAAGCGGGATCCTGGGGAGCGCCTGGTCAAGGCGGTGTAGTCCGCGCGGATGAGCAGGGGTAGGCGGGGGCGTCTTTATGAGAGAAGGGGGGACAGTAGGGTCAAAGCCACCTCGGTGGCTCGTCTCCCCCTTCCCTAGGCCAAACTGAATCTACTCCCGGCCTCCCTCCCCTTGCCCCTCTCTGGGGCTGAAGGCTGGGGAGAGCTGAGTCCAAGGACGGGTGGGCCGCGCTTGAGAGTCGGTGGTACCTAGGGGCACCTCCAGGCGGAACTGCGAAACCCACCAGGAGGGGGAAAAGGTGCAGACCCCTAGGGCGTCGGGTGCTCCAGGTCGGGGTCCTCAGACCTCAGATGAGAGCAAACCCGGCTCACCGCGTCTCCACTCCCATCTCGAATCTAGCCCCAAGCCCGCGTTTTATAGATGAGACAGCCGGGCTCCGTTGGAAGCTGAGCGGCCAGAGGCAAGGGGTTCTGTCGACTTCACGCTGTCTCGCCAGTGCCTTGTGTTTACTTGGTGCTCAGTAAATACTTGTTGAGTGAATAATTGTGGGAACATGCATTAAGAGCTGGCTTTGTGGGGCTTCCCTGGTGGCGCAGTGGTTAAGAATCCACCTGCCAATGCAGGGGACACGGGTTCGAGCCCTGGTCCGGGAAGATCCCACATGCCGCGGAGCAACTAAGCCCGTGCGCCACAACTATTGAGCCTGCAAGCCACAACTACTGAAGCCCGTGCATCTAGAGCCCATGCTCCACAACAAGAGAAGCCCCCGCAATGAGAAGCCCGCTCACCACAACTAGAGAAAGCCCGCGTGCAGCAACAAAGACCCAACACAGCCATAAATAAATAATAATTTTTTTTAAAAAGAGCTGGCTTTGTGCTGGTCCCTCACTATACAGAGATGAATAAGATACTGACCCTTGGGCTTCAGGGAGCTCTTGGCGTGTGTGTGTGTGTGTGCACATGTCTGTATGCATGTGTGTCTCTGTGAGTGCATTTTGGTTTTTGGCCACATCACGTGGCATGTGGAACTTCCCTGACCAGGGATCGAACCTGTGTCCCCTGCAGTGGAAGCGCAAATTCTTAACCACTGGAGCTCCAAGGAAGTTCCTCTGTGTGTGTATTTGAGTGTGTGTGTTCATATGTGTGTCCACGTATGTGCATTTGTGTGTCCAAAAGTGCATTTATGTGTGTACACGTGTGTATTTGTCCATGTGTGCATTTATGGGTGTGTCCGTGGGCATGTGCCTATGTGTGTGTTCGTGTGTATATGTGTGTGTATCCATGTATGAGTGTTTAGGGGAACTTCGGGGTCTCTGGCTCTTGGTCCAGTGCCTTCTTGCAAGCATACATTTCTAAACGTCAGACATACTAGCCTATCCAGCATGGAGGTTCTGTGCCTCTTGGTAGATTCTCCTGAGAAGCCAAAAGACCCCTTGCTCCTTTCCCTCGTCAAAACTTTCTTTTCTTTCTCAGGAAGTTTGTCCAAGAAAGGCAGAGAACCATCACCAGGAAGGGCCCAGCCGTTGGGACTTGAGGCCACAGCTGGCTACAGGGTGTTCGCCTGAGAGGAAGCTGAGATTCTGTTTTTCATCATCATTCTGGGAGAGTCTCACATGCAGCAAGTTTGATAAACACTGGTCTGTTCTTGGTAAATAGCCATTCCCCTGTCCCTCCTTAAGAGATACTGTATTTTTCTGTTTATAAAATGCCAAGTTGTAAGATGTTTCCCCATTTTACAAGGATGGCTTTTGGAATAAAAATACAAACGGCTAACATTTCCACAGTTGGTAAGATTGTACCAGACCCTGTTCTAGGTCCTTTACAGCCATTAGCCGATTAAGACCGACAGCAACTGGCATGATCTAATTAAACTACGAGGAAACTGAGGCAGTGAGAGGGCGAAAGCCTTGTTCAAGGTCACGTCAAGGGCAAAGCATGGATCTGGGCTTCAAGCCCAGACAATTTGGCTCCAGAATCAAATGTATTCGCCACTGTCACTCGAGAAAAGAAGAATCAAGCACTTTTCATTATGTGTCTATTGAACATGATGTTAGAGTGGTTTTGCAGAAGGAAGCATTATTTTGTTCATGTAAATACATTGGGCTGCATCCTAAGGTTTAGCAGGAAATGATACATCCCCAGTACGCATTCATATTTGGCTACATTTCATTTGAAGTACAAGCACATTGACCTGGGAAAGTTTGGGGTACTTTGCACGGACGGAAATGCATCAGTCCAGCTAACTGGTGTTCATTTGATTTCTTAAATAGACTGAATGCTCAGCAGTGAGTTGTGAGATGTGCTGCAGTAATGTGGCTCTCACGCAGGACTGTGCAATGAGGAGAACCACCCCCCCTCCACCATGACCACCTTCCCTCTGACAGAGCTCTGGCTTCCCGGGGGCTTCCTCAGATGCCAGCCCTTCAGAAGCCACAAGGGAGCCTGCAGTCCACAGTGCTGATTGGCCAGCCTGGGAAAACCCTCACCGGAATTGCGGATACCAGGTGGGAAGGCATCCACGGGACTAAGGGAGTCTCGTGGTCACAGCCTTGAGGCGGGCAGGCGTCTGTGCTGGTGCAGGCCACGGGAAGGCGGAACCATGGAAACACAAAGTGGCCCCAGGAAGGGACGCGCTAGGTCCTCTGATGTCCTTGAAGCCAGCCTCCATCCCGAGGTTTGCCTTGAGGCAACACTCTTGTCTGAACAGAATTCACTTCACTCTGACTTGGGCCTTGTCTTTTGTGGACCACAAACTGAAACTCAAGATTCACTAGATGATTCTCTCCCAGCTCATGGAGAGGAGGGCGTTTCCTGTTCAGAATTCAGCCTGAGTATACGGCATGCGGTGTTTCATTATCTAAACGTATCAGTCAGGAGAGCCTGGGTGGTGTTGCAGAAGCAAACGGCCAAATCTCGGCAGCTCAGACAACGCGGGGCTGTTTCTCGGACAAGCTGCACATCCACGGGGGTCAACAGGGGAGTTTGCTGACGACTCACCTCGGGACCCAGTCGTCCGAGAGCAGCCACCTCGAGCGTTGCCTACAGCTGTGCCGAGGGGAGAGGAGAGGAGAGCTTGGGGGGGCCTCACACTGGTCATTAAACTCCCAGCCTAGAAGTGACACCTGCTATTTCCACTCAAAACGTATCGTCCAGAGAGTGTCACGTGGACCACCCTGCACCGACGGCTGGGGTAGAAGTGAAATTCTACCGTGCCCTTGGGAGAGGGCGATCTGGAGGTATTTGGGTGAATAACACTCAGGATCCGCACAGCAACCTTCCAGAAAATTAGGATTTTATTCCAAACTCCTCCCACACTCCCAAGTACCAGGCTCCCCAGGGTAGCAACACATGATTGTTGTCAAATTAAAAATTAATGCAACCATTTTATGGAAGACTAAAGCAAAAAAAAAAACGTGCGGTGAATTTTGGTTCAGACAGGATTCATTGCTCCTGAGCCGCCATCCGCTGAGAATTGCAAGCTGAGCTTCTGAATGACGGGGCTCCTCCCCATGGGGATTCCCAGCTGGCAGGGGCCCAAGACGAGGGCAGAGGTTGTGCGGGCCAAGTTGTCGCTGAGAGATTGACCCCCAGACACGGAGCTGCAGGAACGCTCCAACAGCTCCAGTTCAGACCAGAGACAAAGTGGGGAGCTAATGACACCCCAGGATCCCAACTCCAGTCTTGTCTCCCCCTGCCTCTGACTTAGGCCACCAGATCTGACGCTAAGCAGCTTTAAAGAGGCAACAGAGATGTTGGCGGGGTCCGTTCACTAACCACGGGCCCCTTTGGATGCCCCCCATGACAGCCGGTGGGCCTGCAGCCCGTTACCCCCCCAGATGGGCACATCAGTCCTCGGGCAGGTGATGCGGGTGCACAGTGGGTGGAGAGGCAGCGAGGGCTGAGATCTGCAGGCCAGACCACACCTTCCTTCTCCGGGCACAGAGGGCATCTTCCACTGAGCCAAGAGAGGAAAGTGGCGCCAGGATGACCAGAAAGTGCGTGCAAGGGGTGGGGAGGGGAGCGGGGGTGGGGAGAGAGAGATGGACAGGGAGAGAAAGACAGGAAGGACGGGGAGGGCGGAGGAGAAAGAGAATTTGGTGGGAGATGGGGTGGAAGGGAGCGTCCATCGCAATGGAAGACGCTGGGTGTCGCTTCCTGCTGTCATTTCTCCCCAAGACATTCTAAAACGGTGATCGAATTTGCGAGCGTCCTCACCGCCTGAGTCACGTCTGGCCCTTGGGTTCTGAAGCTATAACCCAGCTTCACAACTGCTCCGGCACAAGGGCATTGTCTATTTCCCGACAGTAATGGTTCAAAGGTCTGTTCCTCACTGGCCTCACGTAGAACAAAAACCTCATCTAGGAGGCCTTCCGTGTCTGACTCGTAATATATTTACCAGACACTTAAAGAGCGTTTACCACATGCCAGAACTCATCCAAGTGCT